AGACTTTTGTGCAGGTGCAGCTGGTTACTTCGGAATCCCTATGCCTCATCTGGTCAGGGGCCACAGCGCTGATGCCACCCCTTAAACCAGGTGATTCCAGGCTCAGTCGCAGTCACCCAGGTCCCCAGGCCGCCTCTGATGTTGGTTCAGGCATTCCCCGGAACAGCTTTTCATTGTCACACTATTTTCCTGAAGGGTCTTGGAAAATCATTAGCCGTGACAAAATATTTTCCAGAGCTCCAAGATTTTTCTTCCTGGTGACTTTTAAACCTCTCTGAGACTCCCTTTTCTGTCATTGTCCACCCTTTGGGGCTCCAAACATATTCAACTTAATTAGTTTTAATACTTTAACCATTTAAATAGTTAACAGTAGAATTTAGACATTGCACACCCCCCTTCCGAATTGCCTATGTGTCTGAGGTTGTCAGACCAAGATGGAAAAATACCTCTAATTGTTTCCAGACAATACACGAAGCTCTCACTCTGAGTGAGAGTCAGTATAACTTACATTTTCACAAAGGACCTCAGGGGCCCGTGGGAGATTCCTGAGAGCCATGCTGCTTTGTACATTCCAATCCAGTGGAAAATAAAACCCAGTTTCAAAACTGAACCAGAAGTTTTCACTTCCCCTGGTTTATTCCTGGATGAGTAAGGATAGATGGTTTTATTTTTTTTTTTCCAACCAACTAAATTTCTTTTCAGATCTTAATAGATTTTTATCTTGGCCTTGTATGTCAGAAAGCAAATACCTTGGCCTGGAGAAAAGGACAGCTCTTTCATTTGAATGTGGTAAACATGGATTCTTTTGCACCCTGTTTGGACCTAACAAATAATCCTCGTGGTGTTCTTTTTCTATCTCTAGGAGTATCTTTCTCCTCAAGAATGTCCTCTCTGGGCCTGAAATTCTCTCCTTAAGAGATTCCTTTATTTGTGCATAGAAGATTAGCTGGTTTTCATACCTTGCACAATTAGAATATGAAGACATTGCTGACAGTTAACACCTTAGCAAGACTTTGGGGAACAAAGTTTCCAAACTGTCGGAATAAGACTCTGGATTAGGACCTGGGGTAGGGAATGCTGGGGTGGGGGGTGGGGAGAGAAGAAAGTGGGAAAAGAAGAGTAAACCCTATATTCATTCACGTTTGCATCCTGTTACGTGCCAGACACGTTCTGCTCCCACCTCATACGCTGTCCGTGGTGCTCCAGCAAGGTCGGTATTGCTGACTGTTCCACAGACCAGGAGACCGGGGTTCAAAAAGGCTGATGAGATGGGTCAGGACCACACAGACAGTACTTACTTTAACCTTGCTGTCTTGTCTATGTCAGGATGTGCAGATCTGATTCCAAATATTTTTTTTCAATCAACGCATGTTTCTTGCAGTAGGTATTATGTACCTTTTGGTTTTTTCTGTAATAAATATTAAGCTAATATATAATTACTAAATTGAAGAATGACCTCTCCATTCATGTGGCATATTTCCTGGAAGCAACCACCACACTTTAGGAAATGGCCCCACACTAAAGACTAATTGTTTTTGAGAGTAAAAAGGGGCCGGAGCTGTGGGTGTGAGCGAGCCCTCCTGGGCAGTGTGCACTGACTGGCCCACAGCTCACTCGCTACCTTTGGTGCCTCCCACAGGAGCGAGGGGGTGGGGCAGAAAGCAGCTCAGAGGATGAAGGGAAATTAGACAGCACAGCCTGGAATCCGCAGCTCTCAGTCTTTCATGGTTTTCTTTTGTGGCGTTACATGACGGAAGAAGAACTTGTCTGTTTCTGAGGTGAGACTTGAGCAGTGGTTCTCCAAATCAGATTCTCGCACCAGGCTCATCATCCCTGATGAAATTTTCACTGATCTGCACTGAAAATATAGTAGAGCTTCCATCTGTCCTTTCTTGGAGAAGACTGTCTTTTTTTGTTTGCTTTTTTTTTTTCTGTAATTATGTTCCTCTTAAAGTATGTAATTGTCCTTTTATATTTTTATTTTAGAAAATAGTGGGGAATGTCAATGGAAACTTGCTCTTCATTAAAACCCTAAGTTGGAAAAAATAGCAAGCTATATTCATGTCTCTGTGTATATGTGAGCATATTTCTTTAAGATACCCACACATGTGCAAAAAGAAGCACATACAATGAAGTAAGAAATGTTACATAAAGCATGATAGAATCACATCGAGCAAGTGGGTGCCACAGTTAAAAAAGAATGAGATAGAGCTGCGTTAATATATAAAAATCATCAAGGTTAAGAGGGAAAGAAAGAACCTGAAGGAGAATAAACATACTGTATGATGCCCTCTACTAAACAAACCATCCAAAGTGTGTACTTCTATATGGACCTATGTATATATGTAAATGTGTGGAGAAAGATCTGGAAGGAGGCACAGCAAACTGATCACAGTGGCTCCATCTTTGGAAAGCACTGAGATTAGATGATGTCATCAGAGACCTTTTTTTCCTTTATAATGTGGTTCAACATTTTTTAATAAGGAGAACATATATAGTCGCTACTTACACAGTTAGAAAATAAATTAAAAGTTTTAAAGTTCCAAACTTTGTGTCAGTCCCTTCTTCTTATTATTATTATATTTATCATACTTGTTGTTATTCACATTTAATTTTACCAATCTATGAAAGCCATAATCTACATGTCACTGGGCTAGAGTTGAGTCAAGGCAAAGATTCAATGAACATGATAAAGTGCCCAAAAAGGGTCATCTTTGATATAATGATTATCCATGATAATCAGCATTTTAAAAGGGCGGTGTAAAAACTAGCCCAGTATTTTGAGTGCAACAACATGACTTTTACTCATGTCATGTCAATAAATTAAAGTTTAATTCTTTAAAACTCAGTGTTGCAATATTTCATGCATAATAACAGTTTGTAAACCTTGTCTGTTACCACTATTCCTCTTAGATTCTACAAAGCACTTAAGATTATCATCCTACATTTTGCATTGAGGAAACTGAGGCACTGCTTTTGAAAAAGGTTGCCTATGCTGCTCCATTACAGCAGCACATGTATTCAGGTTTGCAGGAACTCAGATTGACTTTTCCCCTCACCCTCCACTCGGCCTCTCAGACCTCTACAGCAAAGTCTGGCCATCAGTTCTGCCACAGCCTGAAAAGGGCCCAGGTCCAATTTTCAAGTATTTGTCTCTTACATCATCATCAGCCCCATATATTAGACTTGGAATCAACATCAAGGTAAGCCTTGGGGAGAGATCAGATTTGCAGAACTGGAAACTTCAAGCCAACACGACGGCGGTTCCTTGGACATTCAATCCAAAAGCCTCAGTTGGGGGTAGGGAGTGGGGTGGGGGTGAGCTGGCAGATCCACACCAGAGACCAGTCTGCCTCTGGAGCTGTTCCAGGCCCTGATGCAACCGTCAGCCAAGGACTTGGTATAGGGCAAATACCTCCACTGCCCGTTGTGCCTCAAGCACTGCCGTTACCCAGACCTGGTCCAACGACCTGAGTCCTTAACACAGAGAGGCAATCATTTCCTTTTCCTGCAGCTTTTGAATTGTGGATGATTTGGGGGATCATTTTGTTCCCTTGAACTTCAAACTCAGAGCCCCCAGAACTCTGTTAATATTGCCTCCTAGAAATCAATCAAAATGTTATTCTTTTCTTTCCCTTGATTAACAAGAATAAAACAGATGTTATCTGGGTCTCCTAGTCCCATAAGGTCTAGGGAAGATCAGCTCAGACATACATTCCAAACCCCGCAGAAGTCCAAAACCCTCAGTAAGAGTTTTCTAAATTAGCTGTTAACAGAGATCAAGATGATAGATTCTTCCTGACCTCATTGTCCACTTTTGAAACCTGATCCACCATCTCGCTGCTCAGTGATTCCCTGGCAAGTTATTTAACATCTCTGTGCCTCGATTTTCTCTTTTGTGTAATAGATATAGTAACAGTATCTCTTAAGGTTATTTTAAAGATTAAAGAAGAAAATGGCTGTGGGGGGACTTAGCATAGAGCCAAACATCATAATGATTCTATAAAGATTAGCTATTTTATTGGTGTTACCAGAGGTCCTTGGTGACAATATAGCTGTGACAAAGCAGTGGCATCAAAATGTTCATCTTGGTTCTCAAACTTCTGACCAGAAAAGATAAGTGGAATTAACAGATATCAAAGCCTTAAATGTAGTGGCTTAGGTTCTCTTGGTGGAACTTCTAGGACCAATCAGTTGGTGGGGAACCTGGTGGATAACTCCTGAAATCATTTCTAATTTCATCCCAGCCTTTCTGAGTCCCTCAGGCTAGCCTACAATATTTGGTGAGAGGTACCACAAGCCCTTCATTTAAAAGCCATCAGCTGGATATTCAGTGTCTGTCACATAGAATTTCCTCTAGACCTGGGCAAGTCTCTCTCCTTGATGCTCGTCCTTAGATCCAACAGTGCTATATGCTTACCTGCTCAGAACTATGTTCATGAACTTGCCACAAGGCTCCCACAGGAGACCTTAAGAATCATGTCTTGGCTTGTGCTGTTCCAAGTCAGGCCTTACGTTGATAGTAATTGAATCCCTAGGGGGTTCAATGTCATATTCTAATACCACGTGAGTAGGCAAGGAACCAATATTACTAAGGTAAGACATCTGAAAGCAGAATTGCAAAATGATCTTTCACTTTTTAAATTAGAACCACCAATTAAAAAACAATCTTCCAATTCTTACTACCTGTGGTGATATTTCCCTCTGTAGTAGTCAAAGGTTCGATTGAGTCAGATCAATACTTTCCTACATTAATGTCTTTCTGTACCTTTTGGATTTTAAAACATTTCACCATAGAGTGGAAGCCATTTAAATATTTGATAAGGGAATAAACAGTCTCCAGTTAAATTTAAAATTGCATCCTTAAAACCTTGTAGGTATTCTCAGAGCACTTTATTAATGAAATATAATAACTGATAGCAATAGCACCATTAACCACACATTAGTGAATAGTATTTTCCATTGACACTATAATAAGTTTCAATTATATTTCTTTTTTTTTTTGGCACACACTTTATTGTATTTTTTTATACATCCATTTCCCAAACAAGACATGTTTATTCATTGTTTTAATCCTCATAGCTCAGCATAGGACCTGGCACATAGTAGGCACTCAACAAATATTTGATCTTCAAAGCATGATCACTCATGCATCCATAATCCTCCTTTTGTAGTATGAAGGCTGATATTCAGGCCCCCATGTAGACTTTGAGGAATATATAATTCCCAATAAGCTCTTTTGTTAAAGGTGAGAAACAGCTCTAGTGTTCAATTTCAAAATCAAAATGACATTCAGGTCAAAGTGTGTCAGGTGGTTTGGTCATTAAAAGACAAAATACCAAACTATATTTGCCTACACATCACTTTTTTCCTTTCCTTCATTTTCTCTGTCCTTATGAAAGAAAGCGAAGGATTTATTATAGTTCTCACCAGCTGTAAGACCCCTGAATAATATTTGACCCTATAAGGGCTTTTACTTCAGTTTTTTTCACATATAAAGGCTGTGTGTTGAGATTGAAGATTATCCATTATCTTCTCTTCTATCTCTATGCCTTTTCCTACTTCTTCCTCTGATAACAATAACTTGGTTTCTGAGTCTTTGGTTACAATAACCACAAAGGACTGTCGTGACTCAAGGATATTAGCCACCACCACTTGATGTTGATAAATTTCCAAAGCGTTCCGAGCATGATTAATTACGAGGAGGGGTCAGTCTCCAACTTAAAGGAAATTATAAATGCTTTGGGAGCCCAATCTTTAACCAAAGGAGAAAGCATTTTTGGCACCATCTTCATTGTTATCTCCACTAGAGCATTTGTCACTCTGTGTTGTAATTATGTCTGTGTCCAGCTCCCTCACTAGATTGTGAGGTCCATGAGGGAGGACGGTGTCTTATTCATCTCTGTATCCCCAGAGCCTAGTGCATACAGATGCAGATAGGCCATCTCCAGATCAAGAGAAAATTAACCCAAGATTGGTTATAGGGGATCAGATCTCTGGAAGAGAAGCACCCATCACCTGCAGTAGGCCCCCAGATGACTGGATCTTGTGTTCAGGCATTTCAGAAACAGGAACATAGAAATCTGACACGGCTGCAGCCAGGTAAAACATTGCAGTAGAGCCTGGTCCACGCGCTGCAGTGGTGAGTGGGCGGGTCACTGCCTTAGTTTTGGCACTAGGTCTGGTTTTTGCTGGGTCTGGAAGTGCGTGGTAGTTCCGTCCCAGAGCTCAGCGAAGATGACGCTGAGCTATGGGGACTTCTCGGCTGGGTGGGCCTCAATTATATTTCTTAACTGTAGCTTGTTTAAAATAAAAGCCAAAACTAGGAAATGAAAGGAAGTATCAGAATAAGTGAACTTGTTTTTGGAATTCTAGAATTATAAAAAAATAAAATCACAAAGACAAAATTCATTCTTCAGCCATTAAATATTTTGGTAAATGATCATATATGCTAGGAAAATGCTATGGGATAATGATCTCAAGATATTGACTCTTTTAACTCAGACCAATGCCCCTCACTCACATCTTGACAATTACAAATTCCAGCTTGATGTCAAAGAAAAGAAAAAAGAAAAAGCCCCATGATTCACCATGTGGATCATAAACAGATCCACTCCAAGCTCCCTGTTCTGGGATTTGGTACAATTCTAGCCATGTAGGGGTAGCCAAAAAGCAGCTGCTTGGAGAGGAGGTAGACAGAGCTTGAACCATGGACTATGATGCCCATGTGCACCCAGGTCCTTTGTGGTAGGATAAAGGTAGGGTGCAAAGAGAGGGGAAGAGGTGTGGGGAGGGGGTTATACTCTAGCATAGGACTCCAAGCAGTTGAAAAATTCTAAATTTAAACTATGCCTTTCAGATCTTTATAAAGGTATATTTGTCAAAGAAGAAAGACTGAAGTTTTTCCTTATCAATTTTTATAACTTTTAGAAATTTAGACATGTACATGGGCCTACATTTCTAATCCTGCCTCAAGAATTCACAGCTTGGGACAGGCCTGACCCTGACCTCTTGGTAGCATTTACAACTTATAAAGCCCTTTCATAGTAGTCATGAAATCTTCCCAACTACCCCATTTATATAAAAAAAGAAAACCAAAAAACAACTGAATCCCTAGGAGGTTCAATGTTATATTCAAAATCACATGGGCATAAGAAGTATTTTACCTCCTCTAGGCAGGAGGAATTTTGGATATGGGCTAAGAAGCAAATCAAGATCACAATGGCATAATCATTGTATGGGGTGGAGTTCTGGCCTCTTGTGCAGTTGTTGAAGCACAAAGGTCTGGGAGGAGTCCTCTGCTTGCAAGATGTCATGGTTACGGGCAGAGAGGAAAAAAGGATGTGCAGAGAAACCATGGAGGGTGTACAGACCAAGCTCCTGTACATCTGAAGGAACTCTGAAGGAAATCAAACTCTGAACATCCAATCCATGGCTTAACATCATGATCCCTGATTTACTAATCTTCTGTCACTTAAATAAGCAGATTAGTGATTACTTAGTTGTTTGCATTCAAAATTTACATATTAGGTTTAAAATCATCCCAGGCAGGAGCCAGACACTAGGCTAACTCTCAACATAGCGTCTTACCTTCTGTCTTCTTGCCTGGAAAAGAGGAGAAGTTACAGGTTACTCTACAGGGCCACAAGCAAGTGCCCAGTCACACCTGGGGCAGTGCCACCCTACTCATTTTCAGGACCATTCAAGCACCTGGTGGATTTGAGGCCATCGAATGGAATTGTAGGGATTGATGTTCTTTCTCATGGGTCCAATGAGTTCAAAGACCTTAGAGAACTAAATTTAAAACAAAGATGGTGTATAGGTACAAGAAGAAATGATGTTGCTATTTGAAATAAATCAATCAACCCTTTAGAGATAAGAGTTTTTCTTTAGAAATTTTGGAACAAAAATTGACTTTGATGAGCCAAGAAATGTCAGGTTTTAAAAGATTCCCCAAGATCAATGATATATTTTTAAATCACTTTCCTTAAGCAAATCAGTTTTAAAATATGACAGAAGGAAGCCTATGGAAGCCATTCCCGAAAGTGCCATTATAGGTCAAGGATGAGATCAAGTGGAGAATCAAGCAAACTCTCATTTCCATCAAACTGAGATCGAGTATCTGGAGAGCCAGGCTCTACACTGGAAGCCTGTGATGTCACTTCTGGGATGGTTATGCCCCACATAAATGCTCACCTCTAGGCTCTAATTCAGTGTTAAAATCCACTAAGTATCAAAAAAACAAAACCAAAAAACACTTGAGACCAGACGCTTTTAGAATGCTCACTGTGCTTTGCAACTGATCGAAGTTGCTTAATCTAAGAGACTTGAGCAATTTTTCTTTGGCAATCTTGTATTCACCTTTCTTCATAATCTTAAATGGCCACATTAGGTTTCTTACCTTTCTTTTCTCTTTGTCTTCTTGCTCCTCTGCTTTCCATTTCATTCTTCTCCACTTTCGTTCACTTCATTTTTCCGGAACTCTTTGCCCTCTTTCTGATTGATATTTCTAGCTCTCCATGGAATTACTGAATTCTTCCTATCTTTGGCCTCTGTTCTTCCCCACCTGGGGTCGGGGCAAACAGCTTCCCCACCAGGATTCAGAATCTCAAACTAACAAGGAATTTCAGAACTATGGCAAAGCCTTGGTAAGAAAGAAATAGCTCCCAGAAGGAGAAAAGCAGCTCTCCCAAATTCAGGGCCAAGTTGAAAATCATATGTCCCATCCTGGGACACAGAGAGAAAGTTGGGGAGGAAGGTCAGGTGAAACAGGACCACTGGCCTTGTCTATGGCAGTAAATAAGGCACACACTTAACATTAGATAATAATTAGATAATAATAGCAAACATTTCCTGATACCCTACTATGTCCTACACTAAACACAGATCATCTCACTTAGACCTCAAAACAAGGTGGGTACTAATTTATTCACCCCAATTTTCCAAACATGGAAACTGAGGCTATATTATTTATTTGCACAATGTTGTAGTTAGGAGGTGGTAGAAGCAGGATTTGAACCCATGCATTCTGGCTCCAATGTCTTAGCTGGTAGTCATTAACGTCACTGGCTAAGGATGTTGGAATAGGTTCCACTTGGGGCATGGGAAATGACGGTCTCAGGGGAACAGCTGGAGCCCAGGCAGGATGGCTTCCTCAGCCTCAGCCTCCACAGGGACTGGCTGTAGCAAAACAGGAGCAACTCGGAGCGAGGGCAGAGCCTGCAGTGGGGGTGCTGTGGACTGTCTGAGGGAAGAGCTATCATGGCGGCGTTACCACTAGCAGCCATGGCACTGGGAAAAGAGAGAGGCTACACACAGCCTCCCATAAGAGGAGGGTAGGAACTAGCTGCCTTAGGGTGGCTGAGGGCATATTCAGGAGCCTTAATAACTAAACCAGACAGTGACAGACTAATGTCTTTACTCTTCATCTCTGAATGTGGACACTGCACATATATTATCTTCCCAGTTTCACTGTATACTCAGTGAGGGCAGGAGTGAGTTTTCCACCTCTTTAGCTCCCCAAAATGAAGACAACTAACATGATTTATTTATTTAGAGATTAAGCATTCACTCATATTTTGGAAAGAACTCGGCTATATCCTCTCATTATCTATGAACTAGTGCTTTAGAACAAAAGTAAAAGTAATGGGTTCTTTGAAAAAACTCCCTTGGAATAGTATTCCAGGTGTGTGTCCATGTGTGTCTGAGCAAGGAGAAAAAGGTAGAGTTTATTGAACAGCTACTATGAGCCAGGCACCGTGCCAGATACACTAGGAACACTTTCTCATTTACTCTTCAGATGGTTGAATAAAGTATGGAAAATTAGTAATATTCATCTCGTACAGATGCAAAAACTTTGAGGCCCAAATTTACACAGTCAATGAATCATTTGAGGCCAGATCATCGTGGCTCTAAAGCCTCTTTCCCCCTATGTCACTGAGAGATTTTCCTAGTAGAGAACAGATCCTTGTGGGATAGAAACTTCCTGGTCCCTTGAGGCCCCGTGGCCGCTGGCTTTGGACCTCGGGGAGTAACTTCCCAAATTCCAGGATGCCTACCCTGATCCGAGGCTGCTGTCAGCGGGGAAAGGAGAAAAGCAAATCCCCGGCCACACGATACTGACTCAAACACGCGCACGGTGAATGAAATAGGCACCCGTGTCTCGGCACCCTCGTCTGCATCTGAATAATCACACTCTCAGGATGCTTTGGTACGCACTGCCCCGCCCGGCAATGCAGCAGGCTTGTAAGATGCTTCAGCAGCCTTTTCTCCTTCACATACAGTGTGTCTGCTGACGGTCCACACAGCTCCTTCCCTCCTCTGTTACTCCAGAGAGGGCTCCGGGCGTTCTCCCGAGCCGGGCCCATGTCACACTGCGGGGTGTCTTCAACGTTCACAGAGGAGGAGAAAGGAGCTTTCTGTCCATAAAATTACGTCATGGCAATGGAGCTTTCTCTGGGGCCCCTCAGCTTTGACCCCAAGTGCTACAGTCAAAGAAAAAGAAAATTTGTGCAATAAATAAACCAAGGATAAAAAGAACTCTTCCCCGCTTTCAGGAAACATTACACCAAGTTCACTGGGCCCCTGCTTCTAACGTCCTCACCAAAGCAGGGGAGTCCGTGAGCCTAATGGAACTCGGGTTTTATGGCCAGCTGTGTTTGAAGACAGTGATACTCTACTTGGAGAGCCCAAGGTGAGATGCTGCCAAATATACTTTCCGTATGTGAAAAGCCAGGGCAAGAGGGCGCCCTGGTAGGAAAGTCCCTCAAGAGTCCCCAAGCCAGCTCTGCCTCGGCGCAGCCAACCCCCGGGCGCTCTGCCGCGGTCTCCCTCCCACCCGACCAGGGCGAGGGGCCTCGGAGCGCTCTGCCTTTGGGGTGTCTGCTGCCTGCGGCCCTCTAAGGGCAGTCCTGCCTTCCGAGAGGAGATTCTTGGGCTTCTGGATGGAGATTTGGGTAAAATGAGCGGAAGGGAAGGGCCGCAGTGGGGTGTGGGGCAAAGGCTTGGAGGAGCTTCGGGGAGCCTCTGGGAGCCATATCCGTTTGAGGGGAGAAAGGCAGCACGTGAGAAGCGTCAGGGCCTCGGTTTCCCATCCACACGCAGCCTTGGAGAAGTGCAAGCAGAGGGCTGGATTTATTTTGAAATCACTTCTGATTGCATGGACTGTGTTCTTTCAGCCGTAACACTTCTCCCAGACCAAGCCTCACGGGGCGTGACTTCATAAGCATGACGCCGGTGTTTCCAGAACCAGGTCTGGTGAGCTTGGGGCAGCGCGCCG